AATTTAGTACCTTCAGGGAAATTTTTCTTTTGCGTGATAAGAATAATTGAAATAAAAAGTAAAGAACAGAAGAAGAAAAAAAAAATTGAATAAGTATATTTATAATATGAAAGACAGACAGTCATATAAAAAAACGACGCAAAAAAGAACACCTTGTCAACGAGTAAAATGTCCTACATAGTAACGAATGAAACATTTTCAACAAATTTAATGTACGATTGAAAAAAAACTGCATTAAATTTGATGAATACCTCATATGTTTCTTTTTTTTTATTATTTTCTAATGACAATTAAAGTTTAATTCCATTATTCACTTTGTTACACATTTTTTACATATATATTTTCAATTGTTTTTATAATTAGATACATCAATGGAAATCTAGTTTTATGTAATTTTTTTTCTTCTTCTTTTTAATTTATAATCATTCTATTCTTTCATTTACAATCGACAAAAATAGTAAATCTATAGACGTCATTCAATGCATGTCTTATTGTTGATAGACAATTATTTTATACTAAAATAAAGAAATTATACGTATGAATGGATCAATGATATCATAGATAATAAACATATTTAGTTAAGTAGATATATATTATGCCATATTGTTGGTAATAATCAATGAAAGAATTCTTTCAATAAATAGAAATAAATGATTTCAAAAAAATCTTTTAAAATTAGCTAATATAAATTATTCTATGTTTAAAATATAATCATATGTGCAATTAAAATGATTGATTATATTAATTATTTTATTTGACATATGATTATGTATAGTAAAATAAATGTTTTATCAACGTTCTTTTGTATATTCAACAGATGATAGTATAATGTTATTTAAAATAACTAAATGATGATTTAAATATATTGCATTTTGTATATAAATAAGATAAAAAGAAAATAAGCATCCGGTTAATTTGAATTATTACAGTAATTTGTCCTTTTTTTTCTTTGTATATATTAATTACTTGCTGATTGTAGGTTAAAATCTGACACACTTTTCAACATCTCTTACTTCATGAACTAAGAGTCTGAAAATAAAAATTTAAAAAAACAAAAAAGTAAATATTATTTTTTGCGCAAAAAAGGTCATTTTATTATATTTCTTTTAAACCATCGAAAACGAAATCATTTCTTTTTTGTTTTTTTTGTTTCTTAAATGGCAAAACCTATTCAATTAACATCACATCCAATGGCTAATTATCCATTGAAAGTTTTATCTCAACTTGAAAAATCTCATAAATTTAATAAATTACCTAATTTAAAAAATTTTCCATCAGCAACTCGAATAGCTATAAGTAATAATAAGGTTATTAATCATAAATTTTTTATTAGATTAATACTAAAGACAATATTTTTTGTCTTTTGTTTGCATAGCTTCGTATTGCATGTACATCAGATATATTTGATAATATAACAAAACTAGTTGATTCATGTCCATTAGCTGATGTACTTATTATAGCTGGAAATATTTCACGTTATTCAAAATGGACAGATATTGTTAAATTTCGAAAATGTCTTGATGATTTACCAACAAAATATAAAATTCTTCTACCAGGAAGTTCAGATATTTGTTTTAATCTTGAAAATCTTACTAATGAACAAACGTATAATAACAGTTTTGATATTACGATAATAATAACAAAAAAAATTTTTTTTCTTTTTAAATTAGTAAACAATGTGAACGAGATAAGATAAAAACAGAATTAGCATTACTTGGTTTTAAACATGTTTCACAATATTTAAATAATGTTATTTATTTACAAGATATGGGTGTTGAAATAGCTGGTGTGAAATTTTATGGATCACCATGGTTAGAAAACAGACACACAAAAAAAAATATTTTTTAGTTATTAAGACACACACACACACACACATAAAAAAAGAAGATTGTTTTGTATTTATTAGGGTATCAATTAATAAAACAGCTGCATTTTATTGTTCTCGTAATAATATAATGAACAAATGGAATCATATTCCACGAGGGATCGATGTTTTGATTACATGTCAACCACCATTAGGTACATATGCTTAAATAATAATATATCTCTTTCAATAATATTCTTATTAGGTTATGGCGATGCTGACTATATTGAAGAACATTTAGGCGATGTTGACCTTCTCGGTACAAGAACAAAAATAAAATGTTGATGAATATATAATTACCATATTTGCTTGAATACTTAGGAACAGTAGCATGTCGAATTGGACCAACTTTTCATGTATTTGGATATAGTCGAGAAGGTCATAGATTATTCAAATAATAATTGATATTTCATTCTCTTGTTCTTCCTTCTTTTTTTTTCTTTTACTTTATATATACATATAGTTTTTTTTTTCTTCTTTCTATAGATTTTGGTATGTCATTCAATGGATATACATATTTTGTTAATGCATCTATGTGTACACGTTCTTATAATCCATCAAATGATTTAATTATATTTGATGTTCCAATGCCTGATAATGCATCGAAAATTTCTCCAAATATTAATTATTTTACTGGACTCATGTAATAAACTATTGATTACTAAATTTCTATAGATTATATATTTTGATAAGAACGAATAAAAGAAAATAAGAGCAATGTAAATGTAGATGATAAGAAAGTTTTTATTTATTATTTTAAATATTCTTCAGACCATTCAAACCAACCAGAATCAAGTACAGATATTGTACAAGCTAAATTTAATTCTTCAGCAAATATTGCTGCTAAACTGGCACGCCAACCAGTACCACACATGTATATAATTTTTTTAATATTATTATCATATGTATTTGTATTAGACATAATTTTTAAATAATTTTCTAATTCATTCCAAGTAATATCACCATTGATTTGAGCATAAAGTCCATCGAGTGAATCATATTGAAAATTTGGAATATGACCAGAACGACGAATATATGAATAACCAGTTATTTCACCAGAATATTCTTTATATGTTCTGACATCGATAAATTTTGTTGTTTGAGAAAGAAATTCATTAGATAATTGATCACAAGTTAATCGAACTTCTGGTCGTAATGGAAGATTTGGTAGATTTGATACTTGAGAAAAATTCATTATAAATAAAGATGGATCGATTTGTCCTATTAAAATTTTAATATGTTTATAACCAATCCAATATAAAAGCCAAGCAAAACGAGCTACCATCATTAGTTTTTCTTTCGTATATAAAACAATAAATGACTCTTGAGATATACGATATTTATTTAGAAGTTTTTCTCTTATTTCATCATATGAATAATATTTCCAATAGTTATTATTTTTATCAGTTTCAATATCATTCATTATATC